GTGGCCCACCAGTGTAGGTAGGTATTTATAATAAGATATTTCAAGACTAGATAGTTTGTAATAGTGAACCACCAGTGTAGGTAGGTATTAAAGATTTGATTTTTCAAGACAAGATAGTTTGTAATAGTGGCCCACCAGTGTAGGTAGGTATTATAGTAAGATATGTTAATGATATATAGGATTTAATAGTGGGCCACCAGTGTAGGTAGGTATTAATGATTAGATATTTTAAGACCAGATAGTTTGTATAAATAGTGGCTCACCAGTGTAGGTAGATATTTATAATGAGGTTTAGTAAGGTTGAATAAGATTTAATAGTAGGCCTCTATTGTAGGTAGGTATAAATGATTAGATATTTCAAGACTAGATGGTATATAAAAGTGGCCTGCCAGTGTATGTAGGTATTAAAATAAGATATGATAAGGATATATAGGATTTAAGAGTGGCCCACCAGTGTAGGTAAGTATTAATAAATACCTTTTATATTTCGTTCACTGTATCATACATATTATGCAATAAATCTGGGCGGGATGTGGTCAGTGCAGTTCAAATTACAAATGAAAGAAGGAATAATCCTTCGGATAATAACTTTTTAGGATTGCAATATAAATGACTAGCAGGTCTGATTGCCCCCTAATAGTTTGTTGACACCACTTGAACGTGTGAAAAACATAACCATCACAGGTCATAAATTACGTAGCATATTATGCGACCCTTTTGTTCACAAAGATCATTTATCATAGCGGCATAAATATATTTCACAGTGAGAAAGACACACAAAAACACGGTTAGAAAGAAAGAAAAAATGAAAAAATACACGTCAGTAAATTTATCGAATTAGAGGCTGTTGATCATTTAGAAGTGAATAGTTTTGATATTATGTAAGTAAACAAATTATATATACGCCGAAAATTGCATAGTTTGTAAAAGAAATTAGAGCCTTGATGATGTTTGTTTGTCTGTTTTATTTCTCTCTCTTTTTGTTTACAATCCAGTTGAATAATTGAATGGCTATTTGTGTTTAAAAATCGGCGGCGTATCTGGTCGTGTTCAGTTAAGCACTTAACATCAAAAGAAAATCTTTATTTTTTTACATACTCTTCGATTAGAAACAAACACTTGTACAATACGCAAAATGACAGATAACAAACAATTGATATTTTGATGTATAACATAAGTATAACAGAACAGAACAGAACATATATTTTATTTTGAATTAAGCATATACAGCTCATGTTCATATACAACAAATATATACATGCATGAATATGAAAAATGGTAAACGCATATCAATAAATGAAATAAACTAGTGAGAGTGTAATACAACACACGTAATATTTACAATCCTTATATAACTTTAAACAATACAACAAGGTGGTCTTATATAGCATTATCCGGCATTCAATGAATCAAATCTTAATTTAAAAGCTTTATTACAATATATAGCTAATTTTGTTAACACTGACTTCCTTTCTGAATTCAGCAATTCTAAAAATTTAAACATGCTAGGGTTTCTTGTAAAATAGTTGGATATATACTGTTTCCTAAGAGAATCATACAAAGTACAAATCAATACAAAGTGATATTCATCTTCGATGTCATTATTGTTGCAAATAGTACTTTCCGGTCATTTCTATCAATATTATTGTGTCTACCTGTTTCTATTAATAAATTGTGAGATGATAATCTAAGTTTAGCTAATATATTTCTTAATTTCATAGAGTCAACAATATCCAGGTATTTAGACCTGCTAAAATCGGTTTTGATATGTTTATACAAATACAAAGAAGAACAAATATGTACACTAGAATGCCAATTTGTTATATAAATATCTTTTAAACGACCATGTAGGACTGGTATTAATATATTTAGCTTAACTGATTCTGGATACATCCACACATCATTAAATCCAGCACTTTGCCAAAGTGGTTTGACTTTAGACAACCAATTTACAGTATTAGACTTTGACTTTATATCCAATCTCTGACAATTAACAATATAATTTAATATACAATTGCTTGTTTTATTTTGGTATATTTTTAAAAAATATTTAACAATTCTTACATGACGTGAAATATATAATGGAAATCGGCCTACTTCTGCAAACAGTAAAAGAGTATTTGTTGACATTTTTACATTAAGCAACCATTTACAGAACGTCCTATGTACAATTTCCAAATTCTCCGATAGTAGGCTACCCCATACCTCGCAACTATAATTTAGAATTGGTAGAACGTATGCATCAAACAGATTGAACATAATATCAATGGGAACTTGCTAATCTTGTGTTACATTAAATAATGAGCTCATAGCCCGTAGTGCTTTGCCTTTTAGTGTGTTGGTCGCTGGTATGAACGAACTTCCGCTAGACAAAACAATACCTAGGTAATTAAACGTTTTTACAATTTCTATATTTAAACCCCCATATATCCACTTATACCTTTTATTTAAAACTCCGCCCTTTCTAAAAACAACAATCTTAGTGTTATCTACGTTAACAGTAAGATGCCATTTGTTACAATATTTTTCTAAACTATTTAAGGGATACTGACCAAACTAATAAAACATGTAAAGAAATTAACTCCTTCTTAAACTATCTTAAAAAACACTCATTACTTGAACATAAACATATTGAATATCTCACTGCTAAAAATTGCAGAACACCTGTCTTTTATTTACTTCCGAAAATACATAAAACCAACAACCCTGGACGCCCCATAGTATCAGCATGCAACAGTCCAACGGAAAAATTATCTGAATACGTCGACTATTTTATACAACCCCTAGCAAGAGACATACCTTCTTACATCAAAGACACAAATCATTTTTAGAATGCATTAGGAAAATAAAAAATGTACCCAAAGATGCTCTACTTGTCACAATTGACGTCACAGCCTTATACACAAATATTCCACACAGAGAAGGTATATAAGCAGTAAAACACCCACTGGAAAAACGTAGTCTCAAAGAACCGAAAAACTTGGATACTTTTACGCTTCTTACACTTTATACTAAAGAAAACATGCTTTAAATTTAACGGAAATACTTACGAACAAATATCGGGAACCACCATGGGCACCAAATGTGCACCAAGTTTAGCAATATTATTCATGCACGAATTTGAACAAAAATTCCTAATAACGTACCCAATTACACCATCGGTCTGGTGGCGCTACATAGACGACATCTTTTTGATATGGCCACATTCTCGACAGGAGTTGAACTCCTTCATCATGGCCTTAAACAGTCAACACAACACAATAAAATTTACCTCTGACATCAGCGATAAAGAGATCCACTTCCTGGACGTAACTGTCAGAAAAGATACCTACGGGAACTTATCCACCACACTATACACTAAACCTACAGATGCTCACATGTACCTCAACTACACATCGTTCCATCCGAAACACCAAAAGAAAAGTATACCATACAGTCAAGCTCTTAGAATTAGAAGGATATGCAGCACTTAAGAATCATTTCTGGAATGCAGCAAACTACTTACCGATAATCTACATGCACGTGGCTATCCAAAAGCACTTATACGAGAAGCTATCAAAAAGGCGAAAATCAACCATCTTAATGACACAAAACACCACTCTTCACACGAAATAATACCGTTAATCGTCACTAACAACCCAAGATTACCTAACATTAACAAAATTATTAACAAATATGAACATTTACTAAAAACTGATTCTAACCTAGCAGATTTAACAAAGCACAGAATTTTAACAGTTTATCGTAAACCTGACAATCTTAGGAATATCTTAGTGAGATCTTCCGATCCTAAAATCATAACACATCCCTCAGGTTCCAATATCTGCTACCGAAATTGGATAGCATGTTCTCTCTAAAAACCAAACAAAATTAATGTCAAAATTAACACAACTGGAAAAACGTTCAAAATTAAAGGATCTTATGATTGTACAAGTAGCAGCATCATCTACTTAATTACATGCCTAAAATGCGGCATCCAATATATAGGTCAGTCGGGTAACACAATTCGAGAACGTCTGTATGGACATATTAATGACATACGTAATAAAAATGACGTAAAACCTGTCTCTAAACATTTTTTCCGCCAACGGACACAACATTTAAAGACGTCGACGTCACAGTCCTAAGTATGACACCTAGAACATAAACATCCGCCTTAGAAAACAGAAGAAACCTACATTGAATTATTTAAAACGAAATCACCTAACGGACTTAACTTAATACAATAATGGAAATAACAGATATGAAAAAATATTCAAAGCAAGTACCAGCACCGGCAGATTCATTCAAACTTATATAAAAAAAATTACGGCAATGTTTAAAATGTAATAAATTCATCAAAGGATCCAAATCAAACTTCAACCGACACTACAAGACACATGAGAAAACAATTACGATGTTCATATGCTTCCATTGTGATCAAGAATACACAAGAAGGGACATTCTTAAAAGACACTGCCGTCAAATACACGGCATGGAAATGCAAAGATACCAAACCAAAACGGAGAAAAGAACAACTGACTTAGACGAAATCAAACCAGTAAAACCATGGCAACCACCTTTTGAATGTACATTAAACACGAAACCAACAACTATACCTAAATTTCGAATCGTTCAAGGACAAAAAAATTGGCTAGCCAAAAAATTTACACAATATAATCATGTTTTTTACCAACCCTAGAGTTAAGATCGCCCGAAACAAATACTTTTCCTAATGTGCTATATCTATTTTCGATTGACTATGATTTCCCTAAAGAAATACAAGAAGCCCGATCCCGCTTGTATCCACGCATGAAAGGTCTTAAAAGACAGAACCCCCAGGCTAAGATCGTAATGATATACCCGGCCAAGCTCCTCGTGGACGGTAAACTTATAGGCGACGAGCTACCAGAGTGGAATTCTTATATCAGGGCCAATCGTCTGGACTCTTTGGGTACCCAGGTGCATATGTTCGAAGTGCTATGTATGGTAATATCTCCATGCAGACTGGTCAACATGCGATGACGCAATCTGGAAACATGCAACAATCAATGACAAACTTACCAAGCTACGGGGTACAGGCTCATGTGGGTAACTCTCCTTCAAGTAATCCATACAGCATTGGTAATCACCAGTATAATGTCCAACAGAATCCAAACACTTATATAGGATATACTGACCCCAGTCCGAATCCTGCTCCTTCACACAAAATATCTAATTCTATGTCCAATACGCAATCCCCGCTACCTTCCCAGCACCCTACAATTGCTCCACCAAACTATATCCCTGTGTGCGTTGGCAATAACTCAGTTCAGCATACACAAACAGGCTTTTCTGGGCCTGAGTGCGACATGTCATCTCATCAACACATCATTAGTACTGATACCACGAGCATCCCAGTAGTTCCTACACAAATGCACCCTACAGTGCAATCCACTCATGTCATTCAGACTAACACTATACAGTCAGAATCCATGCCGGGTCCTAAGTCAATGAATTCCCTTAGTTTTTCCCTAAACTCACATCTCTATTTCCAAAATATCCACGAAACCCATGTCAAATCCCTTCACAGTGAGTCTGTACATGAAACACTTCCAAAAACACTAAGTGTCGAGAAAGTGAAGCAGGCATCTGAATCTATACAGGCTGATTACACACAACGGCAGAGTCGTGGGCGTGCACGTAATCCACGTGCTGCGTCTAAAGTAAGAGCGCATTCAGCCGTACCATATAGACGACAGAGTGTTAGTGTTACGCGGCATAACAATCGTAGCTCACCTGTTGCTATAAATAGACTTGTTGAGCAGGTAGCTAGTGTGCATCATGCGGAACAGGATAAACCGTGTGGAGATGGGTTTTCCCCTACTATGGTCAACAATAACAATACAGTCAAGGGTCAGTAGGACACAGCTGAGAAGGTCACGCTTAGGTGTGCATTGCTGAATGTACAGGGTTTAAAAACGAAACGAACTGATAAATTAAAATCGCCTGAACTGCAGTATATATTTAACTCACACGACATTGTATTATTTACTGAAACTTGGTCAAATGAAAGTGTTGATTTGCATGTTAATAATTTTCAATATTACGCTTTACATAGAACTCAGAACAAAAAATCTAGCAAAAGAGATTCTGGTGGTATTATTGTATATTTGAGAGAAAACTTTGTTTCAAATGATACTCTCGTATTTCAGAGCGATGATGATATTTTATGTATTAGAATAAGTGGTAATTTATTGTCATTACAAAACGACTTGTATGTGTGCTTATGTTATGCAGTACCCGAGAACAGTAGTAGACAATCAATGATAGAAACAATTATGTTTGATCGTCTTACGGACTTTATTACTAGCTTAGGGTCTACATGTGAAGAAAATCTAAATCTTATGTTATTTGGCGACATGAATGCTCACACAAGTAATTATCCTGATTTTGTCACAGATGATAATTATTGTACTCATATGAATGTTTTACCTGTTGATTATGACATTGACCCAGTTATGAATCGTTATTCACAAGATAAATGTCGTGTAAATAGCTATGGTTTAACATTGTTAGATATTTGTAAACATACTGGCCTAAGAATTTTGAATTCAAGATTTGGCAAAGATAAATATATAGGTCGCAACACATTTGTTGGGAGTAGAGGTAGTAGTTTAGTTGATTATGTAATAAGTACACAAAATTTGTTTCAATATATTGACGTTTTTGAGGTACAAGATCCATATATATTAAGTGATCACTGCCTTGTGGATATATCTCTTGTTTTTAATAAACCTTTATCTGTACGAGGGTTGTTCAAAAAGTAATAGGACTGCAGCTCTACTGTTCACATTTTTTCATCTACGTACACGAGTTTACAAAAATCGAATATCGGAATTTGTCCTCTACATACAGTGAAAAAATCAATACAATATGTTTAAAAACAACAATTCTGTACAACTTACAAATGACAAGGAGTGCGCGACCCGGCGCACGCTAATAGTTAAATAAATGACGTTCATGACGTCGCAAAATAAATTCAAAATGTAAACAGCGTTATTCTTTCTGAAATTATTCTCCACAATGTTCTAGGTGCTTGAATCATGTTACTATAACCAGAACTCATCTGTGGAGATGTAGCGAAAAAAAGCAATCACATTTTCATTTCGTTATTCGAAACATGCCCGGTGGCCGGCAACTTTCGGTTTTACCTCGTGATTTTGAGTATTCTGGAAGCTAAACGGGGATGGACATATCATGTAAATGACAAAGTGATTCATATTATTTATTTACACATGCCATCTTACATTCTTAAAACAATATGATTATGTACAGTACATTAAAAATGCTTATTGATTGAAAAATATTTTCTTCTTTTGAGCACAGGCTATCATTCATTAAACGAAACCGAGAAAAATTGATACCAATAATTACCGCATATCATTATCAAATTTATTCAATGATAACACACACACATATATATATCTTATAAAATAAAATAGTGTTGAAAAGAAATTTCCCCTATTCAATAATTTTCTTAGAACTGAAACAGTAGACCCGATGCAAACATCAAACATGCCAGACAGCTCGCGGACTGTATATCGCCAATACTTTTGTAGCTCTATTGCAATTAACGTCTCTAACGTCCGTCAATTTTCCGCTTTCTCCCTAGCCCTTTCGTGTCTGAGATCTTATATTCATCGTCTTTGAACTGCTTTCCCCAGCTGAAAACGAGTGTCCTAATTGCCTAATTATTGTTCTGTGAAAATTTAATCTTTTCATACATAGCTGAAGGAGTAGGGCCTATCTGTTGGCAAAATTTAATGATCGTACACATTTTAAGTTTTTCAACGAACGTCATTTTTCTACATTTAACGCTATTATCACTGCTGTTCAAAACGTTATAGTTTAGCGATTTCTTGTCTGAATTACGTCAAATTTAGACAACATGACACTTTAATATGATTAAATGTGTTGGTGAAATATTAGGGGGAAAAGACAACATATTATGAATAAACTGAAAGTACAAATTAGCGGGAAAATATTTTGATGCGGTGCGCCGGGTGCGTGTTACCATGGTTATTTAATATCACAGGGAACAAGCGTTTAGCGCAATAATTCAATAAACTTATGCCGAAGTTGTAGAAAACAATTAACTATTGCCTTGGATATGAAAATATTTAAAATCTAATGGAATATGGAGACATAAGACTCTTAGTTCTATTACTTTTTGAACAACCCTCGTACATGTACAAAATGCCAAGCCATGTGAAACTTTAGATAGCTTCAAATATGTGTGGAATAACGGTAAAAAGCAGATGTTTGCTGAAAACCTATCTTCTGAAAATACGATGAAAAAACTTAATTATTTCAATGTCAAGGTGAATAATGTTAAGTCTTCTTCTGATATTGATGAATGTATTAATGTTTTTTCTAATATTTGTTGACGGGGTTGCGTCCCCTTTGTTTAAAAAGGATATTAAACACGCTGATAGCGAAACTTCAGCCAGTCATATTGTTGATTGTAAGTGGTATACGCAAGAATGTTTTGAACTTAGAAATACTTTTCATAAAATGTTAAACGTCTATCGAAATAATAAATCTGATTTTAATAGACAAAATATGGTTCATGCACGTACGAAATATAAATCATGTATACGCAAATGTAAAATGGATTATGACCGTAATGAAACGGCGAAATTAACCGACGCTAAACATAAAAACGTTAAGTTGTATTGGAAAATGCTTAAAACTTGTGCTGGTGTTAAACAGTCTAATATTCAAATTGATGTATATCAGAAATATTTGAGTCTGTAAATAAACCAGACGATCACTTTTTTAGGCCTGATGAAGATGTTTCGTATTTTATAGAGAGGTATGAACAAAATGATTTTAATATAATGTTTCACGAATTGAATGTCCCTATCACTGAACAGTGCTTATTAAAAGCAACCCGTCAACTACAGACAAATAGAAGTAGCGGTCCGGATAAATACCTTAACGAATTCTTTATTAATGGTAAACATGTTTTAATGCCATTTTTGCTAAATTTGTTTAACAAAATATTTGAAGTAGGATACTTCCCAGAAAGTTGGTCTGAAGGATTTGTAAGACCCCTACATAAAAAAGGCAATATTAATGATGAAAATAACTATAGAGGAATTACATTATTTAGTACATTAGGTAAATTATTTTCACGTGTTTTAAATAATAGACTGGTAGAATTGGCAGAAAATTATGGTGTATATATTGAGGCCCAGTCAGGTTTCAGACAAAAAATGGGCACGGTAGATAATATATTTGTTTTGCATGATTTGATTTCTCATGTGATTAATAACGGTAAAATATTATATTGTGCTTTTACTGATTTTAGTAAAGCCTTTGATTATGTTGTAAGAGACAACGTGTGGCTGAAATTAATACAACTAGGCGTCCGTGGCAAAATGTTGAATATTATAAGATCTATGTACAACTCAGTTAAATCTAAAGTAAAATATTGTAACTCTTTAAGTGAACCATTTAATTGTACTTTAGGGGTACGTCAGGGTGAATGTTTATCACCTTTTTTATTTGCTATGTTTCTAAATGATATTGAAGACATGTATATACATAGTGGTATGCAAGGTATTGATGTCAATATGTTTAAAATTTTTCTTATTTTATATGCGGATGATATTGTTTTATTTGCAAACACTGAAAATGAATTACAGAATAGTCTAGATATGTTATATGAATATTGTAATAAGTGGAAATTAATTGTTAACACTGATAAAACTAAAATTATGATTTTTCGTAAAGGAGGCCGATTGTCTACTGATACTATGTTTTATTATAATAACCGTCCTGTCAAAGTTGTCAATAAATTTACATACTTAGGTATTGTATTCACTACTGGAGGTTCTGTCTCTGAAGCACAAAACACACTTTCAGGTCAAGCACAAAAGGCTATATTTAAAATGAACAAGTACTTATATAAATTTACAAATATCTCTGTGCAACATAGATTAGAACTTTTTGATAAATTAGTATTACCAATCTTGAATTATAGCAGTGAAGTGTGGGGTTTTATACACGGTAATGCTATAGAAAGAACTCATTTATCATTTTGTAAACAGTTACTTGGAGTTAAAAAATCAACACAAAATGATTTCATATACGGTGAACTGGGCAGACTTTCACTTCAGTCATTACGTTATTTCAACATTGTTAAAAATTGGATAAAAATTATATGTACAAATGAAAACAAATATATAGCAAAGGTATATCTAATGTTGAAAAATGATTTAGAACAATTTCCTAATAAGAAAAACTGGCGTTCGTTGGTAAAAGATTTATTATGTAACCTTGGGCTTAATGATGCATGGTTTTATCAAAATGTCGGAAATGTAAATGTATTTCTTAGTTTAGTTAAACAAAGAATTAAAGATCAATTTATTCAAAATTGGACTGGTAGACTAAATGATTCATCTAGAGCTTTATTTTACAGATGTATTGCACAATTTCAACTACAATCATATTTAAAATGTATAGGTGTGAGAAAATTTTGTACTAGTATGACAAAACTGCGATGCTCTTCGCATAGATTATGTATTGAAACAGGAAGATGGGCAAGACCTGTCAGTGTACCTATAAATGAACGCAAATGCACATTCTGCAATGTGTTAGAAGATGAATTCCATTTTGTATTACAATGTAGAATGTACTCTCAATTAAGAACACAATATATACCAATTCGTTACTGGAGATCTCCAAATATGTTTAAATTTATAGAATTAATGAATACTGAAAATCAATTGTTAATCAGAAAACTGAGTATATATATTTCAAAAGCATTCGTGATGCGCTCAGATATTTTATATGGAGCTGATTAGTATGTTAATGATTTTCATATCTACAACTATGTCTATACTTTTGTTAAAAC